CTCCTGTGTCGAGGTGAGGATCGTGTTTATGAAACACTGATTCTGAGGTGATGGGTGGTGTGGCTGCGGGCACCTGAGCCCACCGCAGGCAGAAGGAGGAAGACTGCCTCACTTTGGCTAGGCTACCCGGCTTCCGAAGCCAAGAAGAGCAACTTTTAGATTGTTGAAATGTATCTCTCTCATGAGTCTGTCCCCAAAGCCCAAAGCCTACAACATCTCATTTCCTGTTTGGGGATTTCCTGAAACCGAAACTGAGGTGTTGGCCTCTGTAAAGAAACCCGTGGAAAGAAAGGCTTCTTCTCTGGAACCATGACCGTGAGCAGCAGCTGCAGCGTCGCCAACCTGATGCTCTTTTTACATCTCCCCAGAAGGTGCATTTTTCACGTCTTCTTCATTGCCCAAACCTTCTGTTTCTTGTCATTCTCATTCCCCCGATCGCCCGCAAACTTTCTGAAAATGTGAAAGCCTCTTATAATAAAGTTTACTTGGAGGTGTTGCTTTTCCAAAAGATGGGGGCAGAATATGAATTTTGGGAACCGTGTCATTACCTATAATTGCAAAATTAAAGGAAATTCTGGATAAGCCTCAAATTAGAAAGAATCACAGCCCTGCTGACTGCTGTCTTTGTTTCTCAGACCTGGGATGTGTGTGGGGAGGGCGGAGATGGGCATAAGTAGGCAACAGGGAAATGACATCATACCCTATTTTCTTCGACCTTTAAAGCTCGTTTTCCATAACACAGTTTTACTACATTTTTTTTCTGAGTTTTTGTTATGAGCTCCACTCCCCAGCAGTCCTCTGTGAGCTCTGCTCTGCCAGCCCTCACTTCAGGGTAGTGGAAGCATTTGTGTGCACAGAGTTGCATGAGCCTCTGAACACAAATCAGATGTGAAACCATCAAATGGAGGCCTTCTCAAAGATGGGAATATCTTTTGAGGCCAACTTATAGGCTTTTCCAAGTGTTTAATTTCTCAACATTCAAACCAAATTATTTATAATTCCAACATCACAAGAAAGTTTCTGAAGACACACATTGACTTATAAGTAGGCTCCCTTCCCCTAGTAAAGAATTTCACATTTATCTTAAAACTAAGAGCAGAACTGAATTCTTCCCTGTCAGTGGGATAAAGGGACATTTTATTTTTTCAGGAGTACTGCAAAGAATTACAGCAATCTCCAGCTCTCCCCATGGGAGAAAACGGAGCATGGCGGAAAAAGTTTACACAAATAAAACAATCTTGGGTTTGAAACTTGGACCTGTCGATTACTGGTGTCACAGCACTGGATGAGCTGTGTTATCAGGGCTTTGTCCTGCTTCACTCTGTTAAAGTAACATCACATTTCTTTTACTACGAGCTTCCACCTTTCCTATCTCCAAAAGGTTTTTATCTCCCTTTCTAGTTATTCTGATAAAAATCTAAGAACATTAGGGGCCTAACTAGTCAAAGGAGTTTGTCTTGGTTTGAATTGCCTTACAGAGAGAAAACTGCTCCAGGCTAATACTGAAGCTGGGATGCAGATCATGAAAACAGGAGGGGGAAGGCGTCTGTGATTATGCTTCGTGACTGAAAGATGTTCACCTAAGTGACCGGCATTCCCCCAGACTAGCAGGTAATATTATTGCAGTGGTGAAAGGAGTCCTACTAGTGGTGTGTCAGCTATGCACGCGATGACTGAATGCAGCTTGTAAGAGCAGACACCTTCAGGTGCCACAATGAAGTGACCGTTGACTCGCCCCAGCTCCTTACTCAGGGGTTGAGCCACACAGCAGAACCGCTCGCCCAGTGAGCTCCCCGCGGCTGTTCCCACTCCCAAGTCACTTCTCACTCTTGCTGGAAGTCACACGATGTTGACTGAAGAAATGACTCTTCTTCTGGGGAACGGGAATAGAACAATGGAGCAAAAGATGAAAAGAACTTGAGAAGCGCTTGGCTTCTAGACTGGCCAACTCACTTCAAACGTGACCTCCCAGTGCTTTGAACACATCTTGCCAATACAGCATATTTAACACGTTCTATCAACAGAACCCATTTATATCACACCTCGTGTTTCGAAGAGAGTAGCAGAAACTCAGGAAGTAAATTCCATCTTATGGGGCTCTTACAGAGTAAAGAAATAAAGACCCCCTGGAAGTGACTTCTATTTTGCTAGAGTATTCCCATTTCCACTCCCCTGCTAGAACTAGAATGTAAGCTCCAAGGTGCCAGCGGTTTTGTCAGTTCCATTTATTGCTGTATCACTGGGGCCCAGAATAATTCCTGGCACATATTAAATGTTCCATTACAAAGTACTGGACACTTCAATAAATTTCAGGCTGCCTGACATTCTGAGTGACCCAAATAATGATCATTTCCTTGATACATTTTAAAAATATTTTTCTTGTTTTTTCATACACCTTTTTTCTTGTTTTTCCATTGGAAAAAACCAAAGGCTTCTTTTTCCCTCATTGAAAGCTCTGATTGTCTTTTATCTTACCTCAGTTTTCAAGTGATCAATAATTTTAAAGTAATCCATTGGAAATTCCATTTTCACTTATGGAACTCTTCAACTGAAAAAATAATTTAATTTTAAAAATTGCTCTCTGAAAGACTTATACGTGGAGAACTATAAAACATTGATTAAAGAAATTAAAGATGATTTAAAGAAATGAAAAGATATCCCATGCTTCTGGCTTGGAAGAATTAATATTGTTAAAGTGGCTATACTACCTTAAAGCAAGCTACAGGTTTAATGTAATCCCTATCAAATTACCCAGGACATTTTTCACAGAACTGGAACAAATAATCCTGAAATTTATATGGAATCATGAAAGACCCAGAATTGCCAAAGCAATATTGAAAAAAGGAACAAAGCTAGAGGAATAACCCTCCCAGACTTCAGATAAGATTACAGAGCTACAGTAATCAAAACAGTGTGGCACTGGCACAAAAACAGACACATATGGATCAGTAGAACAGAAAAGAGAACCCAGAAATCAACCCACATGCCTACAGTCAATTAATCTTCGACAAAGGAGGCGAGAGTATACAATGGAGGAAAGACAGTCTCTTCAGCAAGTGGTCTGGGAAAACTGGACAGCAGCATGCAAATCAATGAAATTAGAACACTCCCTCATTCCATACACAAAAATAAACTCAAAATGGCTTAAAGATTTAACCATAAGACAAGACATCATACACCGCCTATAAGTCAGCGTTCAGGTTCTGAAATACTGCACTTGCTACGTGGTCAAAGGCCAACGTTGCCTATATTTTCAGATGAAAAAGTGAAGACTGTTAACTAGCATCAGTCATCATTTTCTTCAACATCTCTGAAAATGTTTCTAACCCGTCTCGACACACTACTTTGAAAATAAGTATTTGGGAATAATCTAAGTAAAGGGTCCTGAAGCCCTAACCAGAAAGTTGCCCTGAAGGAAGTCCCTCACAGCACGAGTCACCCTCACAACAGCCCCGTGAGGTGGGACACTTTCTCAATCATATTTCAATAATAGAGACACTGAGGCTAAGAAAAAGGTGTGATACAATGGGGTCAACACAGATGAAACACATGGAGAGCTGCACATGGAACTTAGAAAGCAGAGCTCCTACTGTGTAGCACAGGGAACCACAGTCAATACCTTGTAATAACCTATAATGAAAAAGAATATATCAAGGAATACATATGCTGTATATAATCACTACGCTGTATATCAGAAACTAACACAATGTTGTAAACCGACAAGACTTAAAAAAAATTTTAAAGTTGGGGTTTAAGACATACATGCAGCATATAAACACTGAGTATTTGCTTAAGGCATTTATGAAGGAGAAACTACCTGATAATATCTCACCAGAGGCACAAATCACATCTTGGGCTTTCTTTTAAGAGTGGGAAAAGAAAGGAGGGGGGAGGGGAGGGCAGGGGAGGGGAGGGGAAGGAAGGGAAGGAAAGGGAAGGGAAGGGAAGGAAAGGGAAGGGATGGAAAGGAAGAGAAGAGAAGAAAGAAACAAGCATACAAACAAAAATACATCACTTAATACACAACTTAAAATCTGGCCTTTAATAAACAATCCCCCTTTCCAATCCTTTTCCTTTTGAAATTACCAGATAAAATGGCAGAGAGATAAAATCCTTTCCATCCCCAATCCTACCCAATAAGTATGCCTCTTCCTCTAATGAAGAGTGGGCTTCCCTTGCTAAAAACACATGATGGCCCTTCACTAGTTTGTTACTATCTTGGTAAAAACACCTATGAAATGAAGCTTCTTAAACAATTAAAGAATCTGACACAGAAAAGAACTTCAAAGACCAGCCCTGCCACTTCTTTCTGATACAAAAAACTAAGGACAGGGAGGTTAAGAGACTTGTACAAAATCACATTCCGTTAATGGCAGAGCTGGGATTGGGAGCAACCCAGTCACAAGGGAGAAGCAATGGGACCCTTCCTGCTTCCAAGAGAAAGCAGTGGTCTCAGTCCTCAGTCCTCTGGCACAGCGGAGGGAGAGCCACGGAAGGAAGACACTGCCCCTGGCAGGGATCAAAGAGCAGGTGTGGCGGAGGGCGCTTTCCCAAGATTCCCCCTCAGGCCAAGTCAGGGACAGGTGTCCCCAGGACCCCTCCCGTCCTCTGGAACTTATGTCTTTCCACAATAAAACATACCAAAGCCATCGCACATCGGGTGGCCACAGGCTCTGGGGTGATCTGCAAGCCTCCCCACGCTCACAAGGAAAGAGGATGTGAGCCAGTGTTTTCTGCCTGGTCTTTGGTGTAGCCCCAGCAGAAGCCCCAGACAGACAGCTGGACCTCTGTTAGACGGGGAATGCTCCCAGACCGCTGGGGCCGCCCACCGCTGCAGGCCGTACATCACCCCCAGAAAAGACAGATCAGCCCCGACACGACGGAGATCCCACGGGCAGGCACCTCTGCCCGCCCAGGGATCTAAGCGCACAGGAGGGCCACCCGAATCAGTGACTTCCTACTCCTCTGTGCAGAATAAGGGACCCTTGGGAAGTACTCACCGATCAAAACACACAAGGAGACACGTCTTCGCGAGACGTTCCACGTTAGGGAGGAGCAGGGGGAGGAGACAGGGTGAGGTGACAACAAGAAAAGTGGAGAGGTGGCTGAGAGTCTGGAGAAGGCAGAGACGTGCTATGTTCTTTAGATGCGAGTAGCTAGAAGAGTACTTTCTCACAGCCTTCCGGACCCACTCACATCCCTGGACGCGGCCAGAGGGGCTCTCTCACTGCCAAGTTCTCACACACTGCACGTTCGTGCTCGGCACCAGGACCCTGGGCTCGCCAAATACCAATAAATGCAGACGGTCAGGTGAGGATAAGCGTCCATGGCTACGTGCTCTGCCTTCCTTGCAGGGTTTCCTGGCGGCAAGGAAAACGCTCATCTGCATTAGGCGAATTTCCACAAAAGGTGGCAGGTACGTGGGTCCATACTGAAGGTGACCAGTTGTCCGTAAGAAATATTTACTTTTTTAGTATAAACAGTAGAGAAGTGACCCCTGAGGGTAATTCAATCTATCATTCGGTAGAGCTCATTATGAGTACTGCAGCAATTAATTCTTACCCTAAGGACAGGCAACAGAGCAGCTGTTACATTCAAATATTAAGGCAGCCTAGAAAATAAAACTCGGACACTTTCTGATATTAGTCCTTGAATACTAGAGCCCAAAACTCTTGAGCTGAGAAGTTCTGGTTCCTATCGACCAGCCTCCTTAGTGCCTGGGCTTCTTTCTTGGATTGTTGGAAGCTCGGTATCCACATCTCTCGCAATGAGCTCCGGCGTGGGGCCAGAGTTGAGAAAGAAAACGTTGTAGGCTCTGGACAGCTCAGGTGGGTAACGTCTGCCTGCCACGTTTTGGGTGGTAAGCCCTGCATTAAGAGAAAAGGGGACAAAAAGACTTAAAAATATGAGATGAGTTAACACAAGCCTCACATTCCCTAAAGCAAGTCCCCTCACTCCACAGAGTCCCCACAGTTACACTGCCGAGCAGCTGAAGGAGAAAGCAAGCATCTGACATTTATGAAGAATATTCTGTGCACTGGATACTCTGCCAGGCATGTCACTCAGATCGCCCCATTTATGGCAGTAAACATACTAAATAGGTACTAAGTAGGTATGACCACCCTGTTCGAAAGAGGTGGAAGCTGAAGCTCCAAAAATTTTTGTAAGTTGCCCCAAACAGTGTACCTAAGATTGACCCCAGCTCTCTAAAGCAGTCCCCTCCCTCTGGTTACTGTCTGCTAGTCCATTTATTTATTCATTTTATTTCCCCCTATATCCCACTGCCATTACCACCCTTCCCACAGGCAAATATTTTAATGCATTTAATATAGGTCTCTGTATTTAAATGTCTCTGTGAAAAAAAAAATGTGTTCTCCTTTTCTGGGCACTTATTTTTAATGTACTTACACGTTCCTATGTCATATATGTCATTCTGTTACTTTTTCACCAGGCGTTGTTGGCACAGGTACATCTAACCCCTTGTTTTTCATGAATTTCCACTGCACTCTGTCTCCTACACCAAGAAGTTTCCACCACACATTAATAACACCTAGCATTTGCACAGGACCTCCGAGCTTTCACAATGCTTCCCAGGGACATGCACTGCTCTGAGCTGGTTCAAGCTTTGTCTGGTTTCTTTCCATGGACTCCTAACTAGTCTCCCTGATTCCACCCTTAATCTCCTTCAGGCTAAACTCAGCAGCTCTTCCCACTGCAAGATAAAGTCACAGTCCTTACAGTGGCCTGTAAGACCCCCTCAGGATCTGGCCCTCCAATAATTTTCTAAAGGAAGGAGAAAGGAAGGGGGAAAGCGGACAGACAGACAGACAAATTCCAAATGGCAGCTTGAACACACACACCTAATTTCATTTTTTCCTGAAATGCCATTACTATGAGAATAAAAAATCATTTTTAAAAGATATTAACCTATAAGAAATGGAAGAATGGACGAGGGCAGAAGAGTAAGAAAATGTCAGAGACTGGAAAGCAGAAGGGAAAACAGTGAAATCACTTATCAAATTAAAAACAAAACAAAACCTGAATTGTGAGGCAGCAGGAGAATGAGCTGAGAAGCAGCCTGCTCTGGACTGCAGAACCTGGAAGGCTCAGGAGGCAACAGATACTTCTGGAAGTGGGACAGAGGGCAAGAGATAAAGAAGGATTAAGAGAAAGTGTTTACAAAGCAGTCAGAAACTCAGATTCCTTTTTCAACTCCTCAAGGCCAGGTGTCTCCCTTACCTGACAAAAGACTAGACGTGCATTCTCTGGAGAAGTGAAATAAAGATCTCTGATCTGGGAACATGAGGTGAAGCTGAGGGCAGTAGTGTGATACCATGAACAGGATTCAGGGATATACGAGCGTCAGATACTCAGACCCTCCTGCCTGCTTCCTGCGATCCATTATCAGAATGCTGATAGTCAAGCCTTACAACACAAGCAGGAAAATGAAGAGTCCGTCACTGGGAAATATGTTATGTCCAGGAGGACATAACTCAGAATTCCCTAAGGAAATCACCTAGCCAAATCACCCTGAAATGAAGCTTACAGCCTGTATGCCCCACTCATTCTCAGAGCTGCCAATCAAACCACCCTAGCATGAGCAGGTTACCAAGGTCACAAATCATCTGAGAAAAGTTACCAACATGAAAGACAGAGACAAAGAAAGAAAAATTTTAAGAGATAAAAGAAAACCAATGAAATAATCAGATGCCAGAAAAGCAAATATTAAGAGAACAACAACAAAAGAAAGATCTTAGAAGATAAATATTAGCAAAAATGAAACAATCACTAGAAGGGCTGAAAGACAAAGTCGAGATATATTCCATGAATTAGTAGAAAAAGGAAAAGAAACGGAAAAAGCATCTGCATATTGGAACCTCCTGGACTGTTTCTTTAACACTAGAGGACCAATCTCAGAGGACCAATCTACTAATACCAAGAGTTTCAGAAAAGAAAGAGCAAAGGAAAGAAATACCCAAGGAAATAATTTTAAATCTTCTCCCCAGATTAAAGGACCCAAGTTTCAGATAGACAGGGCCCACTGAGAGCTCAGCACGACAAAAACAGTCTCTTTTATGAAGTTTCAGAACACAGGAGAAAGGGAGAGATTCTACAGCCTTCCTGAGAGGGTACGATCAATTCTGGGGGTCAGAAGTTAGGATGGTTTTGGATTTCCAGACAATGACACTAGATGTTAAAAAGCAATGGTGACTAACATTAGCAAGTAAAACTTTAAGGAGAAAAGGGATATTTGCATAGCCTCAAAATATCTTCCCCCCCGCAAATATTTATTAATTATTGTGGTGGTTTTAACATGTCCACAGATTATTTTCTACTCTTCCCTCAAGAAGGTGATGCTTAACTCTCCTCACTTTGAGTGTGGATTCAAGCGACTCACTTAGTGGAAAGAGAAAATTAGCAACTTCATGGCGGAAAAATCGGGCAGATACCACCTTAAGCAAGGGACCAAGGTTAACATCACCAGTTATACGTCATGTTGATATCATTCATCCCCTGATACGATACAGTGAGAAGACCCTCTTCAGCCCTGCAGTATTACCAAATCCAAAACCCAAGTCTTAACATGAGAAAACATCTGACAAATTCTACTGAGGGGCATTCTGCAAAACACTAACCAGTCCTCTTCAAAAGTGTCAAAGTTATTAAAAATAAGGAAAGGCTGAACAACTGCCACAGACTGGAGGAGACCAAGCAGACATGATGACTACAATCTGGTGTCTTGGATCTGATCCTGGAACAGACAAAGGATATTAGTGGAGAAGCTGGGGAAATCTGACTACAGTCTGTGGTTCAGTTAATAGCAGTATTAACAGTCAATATGAATTTCTCAGTGTTGACAGTTGTGCCACAGTCATGGAAAACATTAACATTAGGGAAAGCCAGGTGAAAACTATCTGGGAACTCTGTACTGTCTTTGTTAACTCTTTCGTCAATCTAAGTCATTTCAAAATTAAACGTGTTTTTTTAAAGGCAATAGCAAAATGCCTTCAAAATTCTGAGAAAAGCTGACGTCCACTGTAGTCGTTTACTTTCAGCTAAACTATAGCTTAAATGTTAGAGTAAAATGAAGACATTTCAGACATCCCCCTTCCACCCTCTCAGGAAGCTAGAAGAGGGTTAGCTTCAACCCAAACAAGGCATACAGGAAACAGAAGTGCCAACACACAAGAGAAAAAGACAGAACAAGGATTGAATTAGTGATTTACAAATATAAAAATAATCAAATAAGAAGATAATTATTAACTAGAGGGAAACAAAACACTGTACAGGCAAGGGAAACAAACCACAGCAGACCACATGGCTCGTCTCTGAATAGGTTACATAATCATGGTCACATGAACACCCAATATCAAAAATTTAGTGTATAAGCATGTGTTTAGAAATATTGATTCAGAAACCAAAATAATAAGCTAAGTATGGTGATAGGTGGCTGCTTCTGGGCAAGGACAAAGGGGAAAGAAGTGGAAGACTGGTTTTGGTTTGGTTTCTTTTTTAACCAACTTTGCAGAGCTACTTGATGCTTTAACCTATGTGCATATATTTCTTTTTCTAAAAAAAAAATGTTATGTGAAGATAGTAGGATTTATAATGTGTTAGGTAATGATTAGAATCTTCATTCATACCAAATTCAGAAAGCAGAGCAGAAAGACCAATCTGAAATATAATAATTTGGGTGCTTACCTATGGTTGGATAAGCATATCCTCTCTTCCTTAAAACTCCCAAAGGAAATATATGAGAAGATACTAGGGGTGGTTAGCCTGAAAAAGAGATGACTTTGAAAGAACATAAAGCTTCTTTTGAAGCATCTGAAGTGACTATAGATGGAAGAGTGAACTAACTTGCTTGGTAGAGCATGAAGGATGGAATTGCCCAAATCCTCCCTTCTCTTGGGAACCACTGACAGATAATCATGGAGTTTGGCTTTCAACAGACTGGAACCAGAGTTAGGGGTTCTTTACCAAGACAAAATTGAGCAAAAAAAAAAAAAAGCCTGAACATAAATCCAAACCATCAGGAAATTTTAAGACTTAAGATCTGGGAATTCTAAATACCAACCCAAAGTTCAAAGCACCAGAGGCAGGTTCAAAACTGGGGTTACTGTAGTCAAAGTTCATGGCTGAGTAACGAGTGTATTTGGAGCACGAGCAGAGCCAAATAAAGTGGGCCCAAAGCAATTACCGCAAAACAACTCTGGAGAGGACATTGCGCACTTTTATTGACTGACAGGTACAGATGTAAGGCTGTATCCCACTGAACTACAGTCAGAAGCAGGTAGCTAAGAATGAACTATGGAAGTCTGTGTTCAATATAAAGACCAATATAACTGTCGAAACTAACAAAAGATAAAGTCTTCTCCCCTGAAAACTAATAAAATCACCAGCACTTAGAAATGTTCCAACATAAATTAGTTGATGACTTGTTCATGATACTTGAATCACCAGTCAGCTGGAAGTTGTACTGACCACATAATCTTCAAGGAGCTTCCCAACCTTGACCTTGCATAACTGTCCATATGAGAAAGTCAGTAATAATGCTCTCTTTCCTTGTCTGCCCACTCAAGAGTTCTTTTAACAGTGTAGGATTAAGTTCCATCTGAGGTGACATCATAGAGAAAAGAATTTTGTGAAATGGACTCTTTTAACTCTAGTGCTCTTCCAGAAATAGTCCACAGTATGACCTGAAGGAAGTGTGTCTGATGAAATAGTTATGACATGTTTAGAAGTAACTAACTTTCAGCATCCCAAATTGCCTTTCCAGCTGAGGTCCTGGGCAGAGAAACACACTGTTTCTAAAGAACAATTAAATATTTTGCTTCCAAGGAGAATATGGCTCCTATGTTAACAA